CCTATAATACTAAAAGTCGCAATAGAAAAAGAAAAATATCCTCGATAATTAATAAATGAGGTGACAGTGCACTTTAGTATTTCTTACAGGTAATACTATGAAAATCTCTACTGTTAAGTGGTTCAGGGATTTATGGTCAGATGGTGTTTAAAGCTTTCATTATTATTCAGAGCCACAATTTCATGATTAATCAGTTATGTTGTCACCAAGAAATTTCAAGGACTGAACTGAAAAATATGAAATGAGCATTTAATCAAACATGTCTCTAACCACATGTCATCACAACTTTATTTTATTCGTGCAAACATGAATGTAAGAGTATACTGTAATATTACCTCATCAAAACAGGTAAATTATAGTTTATTAAAATCAGTAAACAATAAATTATTATCATGATCCTTCATTTGAGTCATTTCAGAAAAAGCAATCCTTTACTTTGAGTCAGTTGAGCATCGCTTTAAAACAAACAAAAGCTTGTTTTCATTTTGTTCCTCTACCTTACAACACAATAAACTCAAAAAGACTCACCCTCTATGTTTAAAGCTCTAAATATAAATGCAGCATAAATGAGACTTAAGTTACAGAGAAATCATCCTCTCAAAGTCTCTTTGGGCTCAGGTTTAGGCATAAAGGAAGCTGCAAAATCAGCCTTAAAATGAAACACTAAAAAGGCATGTTACATTGTTTATTATGTGTTTTGTATTATTCAAGTCTTTCACAAAACTGCAAATATGGAGGATTTTAGTCACAAGAAGAAGCCGAATAATATGAATTCTCTTCTAAACTCTCAGGGAGTTGAGCTGTTATTACATTTTACATCTTGATATAAAAACTAACGAGGTAAGAGTCATCAAAAAGTGCCAAATGTCAGATTTTACATTTAACAACCATCTTGGGAAAGACTTAAAAAATATCCACTGTTTAACTCGCACAGCAGAAACCTCAGAAATATTCATATATTTGTGTCGAGCTATTTGGATTTCCCTTGCGACTAATTCCACCCAAGCCACTTTCACTTTTCCCGCTATTTGGACACTGAAGTAGCTGAATTGCTCATGTTATGTTTATTATCAAATATGTCTTAATGTCTTAAAAGTATCAATTTATTTACTTGAAAGGGGGAAAAGGTAAAGAAAGTTGATCAATCAGTGTTTTGATGCAGTTTTACTACTATTTAAAAGAAAAAAGATGGATAATAAAAGGAAAGGTAATTGTTTACTGTTCGATTCTTGATTTTTAACTGAGAAAAAAGTACTCAGAGATTATTTTTATCACTTTGTCAACCGAGGGAAATTGGGTTAAGGCAGCCAGCCGTGCCAGCTAGATGTTGCTTATTTTCAGTGTTGCACCAAGATCCACAGAAAACCCGGGATAGAGGGGCTCAGTGAAGGTTGTCTGGATTTGGTGCAGCAGTGTCAAACTTTCAACCCCAGATACGCTGTAAAAAGCCAGCGATCCCTCTTCATAATTAAGGTGTACCCCTACTTTGCAGGAGACAGCCGGAGGAATTTGACCTTTGTGAAGATTATTGTGCCAGAACGTGCAACCAGAAGGAGAGCAGATTAATTTCCAGGACAGAGCATTGTGGCCAAAACAGCAATCTTTCCCTGAACCCTTTCTTCCTATCCCTCTGTACGACACAGCCACCTCAACTATGCCACCATCCCACTCCACCTCCCAGTAGTGGTTTCCTCTGAGGCCATTTTTACACAGAGCCTGGTAAAAGTATGTGAATCTGTCAGGGTGATCTGGATGAGCCTGGTCCTTGCCACACCATGATATCTCTTTCTTTGTATCAGAGAGGTAAAGACAAGCTGCTACAATGTCAGGATCCACCTCGATTTTGGAGTCTGCAGGGAAAATGAAAAACTCATTGATTGACTCGCTTACGCTCTCAAATATGTCTGTAGTCATTAACATCATGCTTACTCTTATATTTCATCAGAAGTTCTGTCCTTGTCCGTCCCTCCTGCGGCCTTGTCCTTCTTGACACTTGTAAGGAAAAACACAAAAAGCATAGTTTTTAAGTAAACAAGGTGAGACCACAGTTATGATGTTTAAAAATCTCAAATGATCTCAAATGATCACACTTACTGATGTTTTTTCCAGAATAATCCATTAGATTGTTTTTTTCTTCGTCGCTCATCTTTTTCATTTTATTCTTTTGTGCAGTGACAAACTTTGTCAGGTTGTCAAGCTCTCTGTGTGAGTCTGTGAGCACAGGGAGGTCACCCAGGGTTTGGAAGCCCTGCACACGTAGACATTAATATTAATATTTAACCTCACAAACTGGAGACGAAATGAGACATAAGCCTAAAGTATCAAAAAGCAGCCATAACCTGAAGAAACTGAATGGGATCCTCTGTTTGTGAAAGCTGACAGATTTTACTCTCTCTCCTCCTTAACTCAAACACTTCACGCTTCAGCTGCCCGAGGTGGTGTTCGGTCCAGTCCACTCCAGCTTTCTCAGCCTCTCCAACTTTCTCTCTCATCTCAGAGCACTTCTTCCTCAGGAAGTGGGTGTACAGCAGGATACGTTCCTCACAGACCCGCTCAAA